GCGTGCAGCGGCTTTGGATTATGGTCCCTTGCTATCTAATGATATCAGACTTTGTAAGCCACAAGTTGGAATATTGTAGGATATCCCCCCCACTGAGGGACCTCTGCTCCAGATGTTTATCCAATTCCCTCTTGAAGCCGCCCATGCCTGCAGCCGCCGCCACCTCCTGTGGCAGTGAATTCCATGTGTTAATCCCTCTTTGGGTGAAGAAGGACTTCCTTTTATCTGCTCTAACCCGACTGCTCTGTCTTGCGTCTGAACATCTCTTGCCTTGATGACCCTACAGGGCTGTTATAAGTTGCCTGCGACTTAACAGTATGTTCTACCACCACCTACGGAAAATGACATCTGTGGGTGAGCTTTATAGCTGTGACAATATGGCAACTCTGAGGGCGCGTTCTCTCCCCCCAGTTTGGTGTAGTGGTTAAGTGCGCAGACTCTAATCTGGGAGAACCGGGTTTGATTCCCCAGGTCGGCCCTGGTTTGTACTCGGATGGGAGACCGCCGAGGAAGTCCAGGGTTGCTTCGCGGAGGCAGGCAATGGCAAACCCACCTCTGTATGTCACAACTGGCCAAAATCTCCCAAAAGCTCCATCGCTGGCTAGCTTATCTCTAGCCAGGCTAGTTGATATGAGGATAAAAATCAGATGACGCCTGTCGCCCAGGCTTTTCGAATCTTGGAAGTGAAACAAGGTCAACTCCAATCTCTTCTCTTCTTCTTCCTCTAAAAGACTCTTACTCCAGGCCACCCAGTGAGATGATGAAACGTTGGCCTCAGTTTCCCCATCGAAATCTAACATGCCACATTAACTCATTCTGTTCTCCACCCTCACTTCTCTCTCTGTACTTTTTTGTTTTATATACATAAATACAGATCAAACAAATAATAAAGATTAGGCTGACCATTAATAGCCATTCTCCTTTAATGTGTCGTTTTAGACATGAAAGCTATATCCCAAGGTGTACAGCCCCTCCCAACAGCCCTGGCTTGTCCTTGGATGGGAAGACCACCAACGAAGGCCAGGGCTGTTTTGCGGAGGCAGGCAATGGCAAATCCACCTCATAAAAACCTACAGTGTCGGCCCTGGCTAGAATTTGGATGGCAGACCTCCAAGTAACACTAGGGTCACAGCACGGACGCAGGCAATGGCAAGTCACTTCTGAGTCATCTTCTGGGCATGGGACAGCAGTCACTGGGGGACGGGTGTTCGGGGGGAGGGAAGTATTTGTGAATTTCCTGCCTTGTGCAGGGGGTTGGACTAGATGAACCTGGAGGTCCCTTCCAGCTCTATGATTCTATGAATGTCTCTTGGCTTGAAAACCCCACAGGGTCGCTACAAGTCAGTTGTGACCTGACAGCACTTTCCGCCACCAAAAGGCATTACAAATCTGTCCCACTGTAATTGTGTTAATCACTCTTGGGGTGAAGAAGGACTTCCTTTTATCTGCTCTAACCCGACTGCTCTGTCTTGCATCTGAACATCTCTTGCCTTGATGACCCTACAGGGCTGTTATAAGTCGTCTGAGACTTAACAGTATGTTCTACCACCACCTATGGAGAATGACATCTGTGTGTGAGCTTTATAGCTGTTTGACGATATGGCAACTCTGAGGGGGCGTTCTCTCCCCCAGTTTGGTGTAGTGGTTAAGTGCGAGGACTCTAATCTGGGAGAACCGGGTTTGATTCCCCACTCCTCCACTTGCACCTGGCTGGATGACCTTGGGCAAGCCGTAGTTCTGATAAGAGCTGTTCTTGGAAAAGAGCCGTTTCTGTCAGAGCTCTCTCAGCCCCACTGACCTCACAGGGGAGGGGAAAGGAAAGGAGATTGTCAGCCGCTCTGAGACTCCTTCGGTAGTGAAGGGCGGGGTATAAATCCAATCTCTTCTCTTCTTCTTCCTCTAAAAGACTCTTACTCCAGGCCACCCAGTGAGATGATGAAACGTTGGCCTCGGTTTCCCCATCGAAATCTAACATGCCACATTAACTCATTCTGTTCTCCACCCTCACTTCTCTCTCTGTACTTTTTTGTTTTATATAAATAAATACAGGTCAGATGAATAATAAAGATTAGGCTGACCATTAATATCCATTCTCCTTTAAGGTGTCGTTTTAGACGTGAAAGCTACGGTATATCCCAAGGTGTTTTTTTTTTAGACCAGTCTGATGAGAACGGTGCAGTTTTTCTTCCAGTCAAGCCCAGTCAACGTTTCCAATAAAGCTCAGGTGAAACTAAGCAGTGTCGGCCCTGGCTAGAATTTGGATGGGAGACTACCAAGGAATACCAGGGTTGTGATGCAGAGGCAGGCGCTGGCAAACCCCCTCTGAATG